CGCATATTCTATAAACATGTAATTCACAATTCACCAACAGCTATAGGTGAGATGGCCAATCTTTGTGCGTACAAGATTTCCTATATTTGCTTATATATTTTACAACAAACAATATAAGTCATTCATATAAATATGAATATATAACAAAATATTTATTTTAAAAATAAATTCTTCAATATTATTTAATAAGAGTCAAACCCTCAACCTTTTGCCTCAACGAAAGAGATAAGTATATTCCACACGTGGTGCACAACATTTGTGCACGCGGAGTTATACTATTGGCTCACATGAATGAATCAACTATACCGTAAGTAATAATTAGCAATACTCATTCCCCACATGTTCTTCTTTAGAATGGTGATGCTCTTAATCCCCTCTAATGGAAAAATTATTGCGTCAATTCAATATTAGATACACACAATAAATTATTCTCTCACATTGATATTGAGATCCACTCACTTAAAAGTGTGTATTTAATTAGGATTGTATACGATTTTGAAAGATTTTTTTTAACTGACAGATTTCCTGGAATTGTATAACTCCTATAGGTTTTACTCGGATTTTTAATAAACTTGTATATGCTTTTATTATAGACTCCATACTTTTGTATGAACTTTTGTTATAGATTCAAATATCATAGACTTCCCAATACTATTTTCTTTTATCACTCTTTCTTCCCATCACTATTTTCTTTAAACTATCTTGACCTAGCCATTAGTCGACCATCCCTTCTTCTTTTTTCTTTTTCTTTTTTCCCAAAATCTTCCTCTACTTGTGTGCACAACAATGAATTTCCCTTTGATTTTGTTCACAAACAGTAAACTCTTCGTCCAAAAATTCAATTTGAAAAAAAAAACCCTTTGTCCAAAAAGCAAGGGCCCTATCATCTGGTAGTGTTATGGGTGATAGAAATATATCTCAACCTTCCGCCGCCTTGACGTTGGCTTCACGCCGAGATGATCTCTAGGGGAAGTTATCGGAGATTGAGAAATCTCTAGCTGAGCTTTCCGCCCAGCAACTCCAATTGGTTGATTTGAAGAAATCACTAATGGAGGAGCTTTGCTTAATACAGGACGCTTGTAACCACCCAAGGTCAGTGCATGGCTTAGTGCATTGTTTGCCAAACGATGGAAAAATTTCTAACACAGAGAGAAAAAAAAAAACACGTCGTATGAAATCTTTGGGGTGGAGGTTGGACTTATGTTGGCCTTTATTATTTATACCTAAACCCTACAAATTCTCCAAACTCCAACACTTAATTAAATCCTTTCAAATCTATCTCCTTTTGAATGCAAGTAAATTTATTTGGACTTTTTCCAAGTTCTAATTGAATACACCCAAACTGTTATAGACTTTTTAAAAATTTGTATAAATCCAAATTGAATACACTCGGATTTTTAAAATCTTTTTAACCGCTCTTGAATCCTAAATGAATACACCTCCTCTTAATTTGGGAGACAAATGAATATCTATCCTACTTTGGATTTATACGCTAACATTGAGAGTTTTTATGTGTGTCAATATTATTAAGGTAGTTTTATTCCTTTTAACTATGTTATTTGAGTGTTATTAGGCACTATTATTATTTGTATAAAAAACTTATGAAAAGGAACTTGTAGCTCCAATGATAGTGAGTATTTCTACCACGCGCAAGTTTAGAGTTCAAATCGCTTCTCTACATTTGACCTCCTTTGTATGTAACCCAAAAAGAGGCAAAATTTCTAATGAACCTCGCGAACAAACCTTCTATCTATTATAATGAGGCCCTGTTGCAATTTTGGGCTTAAGATTGATGCATGTAAAGTAAAAGAGGCCGAAGGGGCGCTTGAATAGACTATACCTAAATGATCAATTTTCCTTGCTATAAAAAGAAGTATGATTGGCTAACTATAAGTAGCATGAAAGTGAAGGGAGTAATGTTGTCAAAGGCATTACCACACACACAAACCATTGGTTCTCTCTCCCCCATCGATTGTGATATGTCATGTCATGACAAAAGCAATCAAGTTTCATGTGATCATTGATATATTTTCTGCAAAAAGAAAAGAAAAAGAAAAACAATAGAAAAGAAAGTTGAAATTTGAACATGCACGTATAGGAACAACTTTTACTTTTGGTGGGTTTACAAATGGCAATAGTGGCATTCCGCTTTATGAACGAAGTTGAAATTTCATCCCAAATTAATTGGTAATAGGGGAAGTAGTCCAACTGTTATAAGAACTTGTAAAATTTTCTAATTTTTCAATATGAGATTTTTTACCTTCACATTTTCACATGACCCCGCACATGTGACGAATACTAACAATCCTTCTCATTGGTAAGTGTGGGATTTGGGCCAGCTTCATCCAAAGATAAATACGAGCTCGATATTGATCATGATACCAGTTGGTTCATCCACAAGTTAAGAGTTATGGTTGGTAAACTAAATTTATTTTTGCAAATACGGATGAGATTCTTAATATTTTTATTTGGTAACAAAGGGGGCATGAAGCTAAAAAACAAACAAATCCACCAAGCCTGTCGGCTTAAATAGATGGCCCTTTACCCTAGCAAGACCAATATGATAAAATTCGTATCTAGCTAAATTTATCAAATTGACCTAAATTTCATAAAGGCTGGACAAATTGTTCAAAAGTAAAAGTACAACAAACAGAACAAACACCCTTAAAATTAGGGGTGACATTTTAGACTGCAAAACTACAAAAACCAACCAACATTCTACTCCAATGAAACCGCAATCGCGGGAAATCGAATCGCATTTATGGTTTGAAGAACCGAACCGCATTTGCGATTGCGGTGTTTGATTTTGACAAGTTGCAGTTATTGCAAACCGCGACTATATTTTAAAAAATAAATAAATTACATTTTATTGTTTAATCGTAGCCATTAGATGCGATTAGACCTAACTAAGCCTTTCTTCTCTCATTACGCAACCTCGCTCTCTCAATTCTCAATTTGATTCTCATTCGTCTCTCTCTCTCTCTCAACTCTCAAAATCGACTTCTCTCTCACAGACTTGAATCTCGATCTCAGTTCTATCTCTTCTCTCTCAACTCAACCTCCACCACGTTCACTCAACTCAAGCTCTCTCTCTCTCTCTCAAGCTCAACTCAAACCCTCCTGCCACCATTGTTAACAGCAGCTCTCAACCTCTCTCAAGTCTGTCTTGGTTGATTTTGAGGTAAATTATGGTAAACCTAATTTCTGAAATTGATTGTTTCAAAGATAGGGTTTCGAAATTTAGGTTTTAATTGGGAATTTCTAATATCAAATTTGATTTTTGCAGGGATTGTTGCTGAAGTGAATTAATGGTTCGGAGGTTTCTGTTTTGAGCTTGGAGCATTTGGTTTTGCAGAGGTAAAGCATAAATCTGTGCATAGCTTGAATTAAGTTCTGTTAATTAAATTATGTTTTGTATGTTAATGTTTTGATCTTGAATTAAATTCTGTTTTGTATGTTAATGTTAATTATGTTGGTAATTTGGAATCTGTTAAATTAAATTTGTTGTTGTGGAATCTGGTACTTGGTAATCTGTATGTTAATTAAATTCTGTTTTTTTTTAAAAATTTGTTTATAGAGTTTCATTTGGTTGAGTTTAATATGTTATTAATATGCTTTAATGTTGTTGCTTTTGTGTTGTGTTGTGTTATAGATGGAGTCTAGTCACTCTAACACACCTAATGCCTCTAATCCCTAAACACAAACCAATACACTGGAAACACAACCTTCAACTCAAACACAAAATCCCACACATAAGGGGCTTGTGGTGGGAGATAGGAGGAAAGCCCCAAAATCGATTGTGTGGTTACATTGCACAAAACAAATAAAGAAAGATGGTAATAGAGTAGAGAAGGTTATAGGGGTTTGCAATTATTGCAAATTGGAGATGTCAACGGACCCTAGAAAAAATGGGACAACGGGTTTAAAAAATCACATAGAGAGGAGATGCAAGCTCTCTCCTCTCTATCAACAACAAGGTGATGCAAATCAACCTTCTTTGACAACGGATACAATGGGTAGTGGATTGGTTCATCACACATTTAATAAAAAAAAGTGAGTTAAAGGTTGTGAAGTTCATCATTAAGGATGAGCATCCTTTTATAGTCGTTGAGGGCTCGGGTTTTAAGGAAATGATGTATGAAGGTACCAAGTAGGAAGAAGGTTGCCGAGGGGGTGTGGGAGTTATTCATGGTTGAAAAGGCAAAGATAATAAGTGTGATTGGTGAACAAAGAGTTAGTAACACAACCGATACTTGGACATCGATCCAAAACATAATTACATGGTTGTGACGATCCACTTCATGGATAGTGATTGGAACTTGCACCAAAGAATAATTAGCTTCACAAAGATCACTAGTCATAAGGGCATTGACATAGGAAAAACCCTAGATGCATGTTTGACGGATTGGGGCATACACAAAGTATTCGCAGTTACCGTTGATAATGCTTCTGCCAATGATGGGGCGGTTGAGTACATGGCACAAAGCCTAAAGGCAATGAACACCTTAATGTTGGATGGGAAGTACTTGCACTTGAGGTGTGCTTGTCACATTCTTAATTTAATTGTTAAGGATGGTTTGAAGGAGCTTAGTGCCTCAATTGAGGGTATAAGAAATTGTGTGAAGTTTATTCACTCTTCTCCGGCGAGGTTGGATAAGTTTAGAGAGTTTTCCATTGCATGTGCCAATGGATGTGCCTACAAGGTGGAATGCAACCTATAAAATGCTTGAAGGTGCATTCAAATATAGGTAAGTCTTTGACAAGATGACATATTCTTGTGAGGTGTTTCAAGCTTACTTTCTAAAGGAACAGAAAGTTAAGAAAGTGATGGTTCAGAGAGTGAGACCTCCAAAAGAAGATGATTGGGAGAAGGCATTAGCTTTTGTGCATTTTCTAAAAAAATTTATGATGCTACATTGAAGCTTAGTGCAACCAAAACTTGTACATCCCTAATAATTTTCCTAGAATTGGTTGCTTTACAAGTTCAAATAGAAGTGAAAATGAAGGATCTTAGAAATCCTACCATGCAACGGGTAGCATCTTTAATGAAGTTGAAATTTGACAAATATTGGGGGAGCCTTGATGTTATGAATAAGCTTATATTTTTGGGCAATGTGCTAGACACAAGGATGAAGCTTCAAATGCTCCAAATCAGCTTTGACAATCTCGAGGTAGATGCTAGAAAGCAAGATGAGATTGTGAAGGAGGTTGTAAAGTGTTTGAATGAATTGTATAGTGAGTATAAAGGAGTTGAGAGTGTTGTGAGCCAATTTGATGAGGATGGGATTGATGATGAGGTTGCACAAATTGGTGACGATGTTGATGTCACATTTCAACTAATGCAACAACTTGTGCAAAAGAGGAAGGATGAGTAATCCGTTGAGATATCCAATGAAGTGGATAAGTACTTGACGGATCCTTTTGAGAGCCCTTTGAGCAAACAATTCAATCTCTTGAATTGGTGGAAAGGGAACCAAACAAGATATCTTATTCTTTCACAAGTTGCCAAGGATATCTTTGCAATTTCAAGTTCCACGGTTGCTAGTGAGTTGGAAACTTTCATACCTAAACAATGAATTTCTCTTTGATTTTGTTCACAAACAGTAAACTCTTCGTCCAAAAATTCAATTTGAAAAAAACAACCCTTTGTCCAAAAAGCAAGGGCCCTGTCATCTGGTAGTGTTATGGGTGATAGAAATATATCTCAACCTTCCGCCGCCTTGACGTTGGCTTCACGCCGAGATGATCTCTAGGGGAAGTTATCGGAGATTGAGAAATCTCTAGCTGAACTTTCCGCCAAGCAACTCCAATTGGTTGATTTGAAGAAATCACTAATGGAGGAGCTTTGCTTAATACATGACGCTTGTAACCACCCAAGTGTCAGTGCATGGCTTAGTGCAATTGTTTGCCAAACGATGGAAAAATTTACAAGACAAAAAAAAAAAAAAAAAAAAAACGTCGTATGAAATCTTTGGGGTGGAGGTTGGACTTATGTTGGCCTTTATTATTTATACCTAAACCCTACAAATTCTCCAAACTCCAACACTTAATTAAATCCTTTCAAATCTATCTCCTTTTGAATGCAAGTAAATTTATTTGGACTTTTTCCAAGTCCTAATTAAATACACCCAAACTGTTATAGACTTTTTAAAAGTTTGTATAAATCCAAATTGAATATACTCGGATTTTTAAAATCTTTTTAAACGCTCTTGAATCCAAAATGAATACACCTCCTCTTAATTTGGGAGACAAATGAATATATATCATACTTTGGATTTATACGCTAACATTGAGAGTTTTTATGTGTGTCAATATTATTAAGGTAGTTTTATTCCTTTTAACTATGTTATTTGAGTGTTATTAGGCACTATTATTATTTGTATAAAAAACTTATGAAAAGGAACTTGTAGCTCCAATGATAGTGAGTATTTCTACCACGCGCAAGTTTAGAGTTCAAATCGCTTCTCTACATTTGACCTCCTTTGTATGTAACCCAAAAAGAGGCAAAATTTCTAATGAACCTCGCGAACAAACCTTCTATCTATTATAATGAGGCCCTGTTGCAATTTTGGGCTTAAGATTGATGCATGTAAAGTAAAAGAGGCCGAAGGGGCGCTTGAATAGACTATACCTAAATGATCAATTTTCCTTGCTATAAAAAGAAGTATGATTGGCTAACTATAAGTAGCATGAAAGTGAAGGGAGTAATGTTGTCAAAGGCATTACCACACACACAAACCATTGGTTCTCTCTCCCCCATCGATTGTGATATGTCATGTCATGACAAAAGCAATCAAGTTTCATGTGATCATTGATATATTTTCTGCAAAAAGAAAAGAAAAAGAAAAACAATAGAAAAGAAAGTTGAAATTTGAACATGCACGTATAAGAACAACTTTTACTTTTGGTGGGTTGACAAATGGCAATAGTAGCATTCCGGTTTTTGAACAAAGTTGAAATTTCATCCCAAAATTAATTGGTAATAAGGGAAGTAGTCCAACTCGTTATAAGAATTTGTAAAATTTTCTAATTTTTCAATATGAGATTTTTTACCTTCACATTTTCACATGCCCCTGCACGTGTGACGAATACTACAATCCTTCTCATTGGTAAGTGTGGGATTTGGGCCAACTTCGTCCAAAGATAAATACGAGCTCGATATTGATCATGATACAAGTTGGTTCATCCACAAGTTAAGAGTTATGGTTGGTAAACTAAATTTATTTTTGCAAATACGAATGAGATTCTTAATATTTTTATTTGGTAACAAAGGGGGCATGAAGCTAAAAAACAAATAAATCCACCAAGCCTGTCGGCTTAAATAGACGGCCCTTTACCCTAGCAAGACCAACATGATAAAATTCGTATCTAGCTAAATTTATCAAATTGACCTAAATTTCATAAAGGCTGGACAAATTGTTCAAAAGTAAAAGTGCAACAAACAGAACAAACACCCTCAAAATTAGGGGTGACATTTTAGACTGAAAAATTGCAAAAACCAACAAACATTCTACCACAATGAAGCCGCAATCGCGGGAAATCGAACCGCATTTGTGGTTTGAAGAACCGAACCGCATTTGCAATTGCAGTGTTTGATTTTGACAACTTGCAGTTATCGCAAACCGCGATTATATTTAAAATAAATAAATAAATTACATTTTATTGTGTAATCATAGCCATTAGATGCGATCAGACCTAACTAAGCCTCTCTTCTCTCTTTACGCGACCTCACTCTCTCAATTCTCAATTTGATTCTCATTCGTCTCTCTCTCTCTCTCTCTCTCTCTCTCTCTCTCTCTCAACTCTCAAAATCGACTTCTCTCTCACAGACTTGAATCGAACTCATCTCCTCCTCTCTCTCTCTCTCGATCTCAGTTCTGTCTCTTCTCTCTCAACTCAACCTCCACCACGCTCACTCAACTCAAGCTCTCTCTCTCTCTCTCTCTCTCTCTCTCTCTCTCTCTCTCTCTCTCTCTCTCTCAAGCTCAACTCAAACCCGCCTGCCACCATTGTTAACAGCAGCTCTCAACCTCTCTTAAGTCTGTCTTGGTTGATTTTGAGGTAAATTATGGTAAACCTAATTTCTGAAATTGATTGTTTCAAAGATAGGGTTTTGAAATTTAGGTTTTAATTGGGAATTTCTAATATCAAATTTGATTTTTGCAGGGATTGTTGCTGAAGTGAATTAACAGTTCGGAGGTTTCTGTTTTGAGCTTGGAGCATTTGGTTTTGCAGAGGTAAAGCATAAATTTGTGCATAGCTTGAATTAAGTTCTGTTAATTAAATTAAGTTTTGTATGTTAATGTTTTGAGCTTGAATTAAATTTTGTTTTGTATGTTAATGTTAATTATGTTGGTAATTTGGAATCTGCTAAATTAAATTTGTTGTTGTGGAATCTGGTACTTGGTAATCTATTTTGGAATATGGCACTTGGTAATCTGTATGTTAATTAAATTCTGTTTTTAAAAAAAAATTGTTTATAGAGTTTCATTTGTTGTTGTGTTTTAATTTGGTTGAGTTCAATATGTTATTAATATGCTTTAATGTTGTTGCTTTTGTGTTGTGTTATAGATGGAGTCTAGTCACTCTAACACACCTAATGCCTCTAATCCCTAAACACAAACCAATACACCGGAAACACAACCTCCAACTCAAACACAAAATCCCACACATGAGGGGCTTGTGGTGGGAGATAGGAGGAAAGCCCCAAAATCGATTGTGTGGTTACATTGCACAAAACAAATAAAGAAAGATGGTAATGGGGTAGAGAAGGTTATAGGGGTTTGCAATTATTGCAAATTGGAGATGTCGACGGACCCTAGAAAAAATGGGACAACGGGTTTAAAAAATCACATAGAGATGAGATGCAAGCTCTCTCATCTCTATCAACAACAAGGTTATGCAAATCAACCTTCTTTGACAACGGATACAATGGGTAGTGGATTGGTTCATCACACATTTAATAAATAAAAAAGTGAGTTAAAGGTCATGAAGTTCATCATTAAGGATGAGCATCTTTTTATAGTCGTTGAGGGCTCGGTTTTTAAGGAAATGATGAACGAAGGTACCAAGTAGGAAGAAGGTTGCCGAGGGGGTGTGGGAGTTATTCATGGTTGAAAAGGCAAAGATAATAAGCGTGATTGGTGAACAAAGAGTTAGTAACACAACCGATACTTGGACATCGATCCAAAACATAAATTACATGGTTGTAACGATCCACTTCATGGATAGTGATTGGAACTTGCACCAAAGAATAATTAGCTTCACAAAGATCACTAGTCATAAGGGCATTGACATAGGAAAAACCCTAGATGCATGTTTGACGGATTGGGGCATACACAAAGTGTTCGCAGTTACCGTTGATAATGCTTCTGCCAATGATGGGGCGGTTGAGTACATGGCACAAAGCCTAAAGGCAATGAACACCTTAATGTTGGATGGGAAGTACTTGCACTTGAGGTGTGCTTGTCACATTCTTAATTTAATTGTTAAGGATGGTTTGAAGGAGCTTAGTGCCTCAATTGAGGGTATAAGAAATTGTGTGAAGTTTATTCACTCTTCTCCGGCGAGGTTGGATAAGTTTAGAGAGTTTTCCATTGCATGTGCCAATGGATGTGCCTACAAGGTGGAATGCAACCTATAAAATGCTTGAAGGTGCATTCAAATATAGGTAAGTCTTTGACAAGATGACATATTTTTGTGAGGTGTTTCAAGCTTACTTTCTCGAGGAAGAGAAAGTTAAGAAAGTGATGGTTCAGAGAGTGAGACCTCCAAAAGAATATGATTGGGAGAAGGCATTAGCTTTTGTGCATTTTCTAAAAAAATTTATGATGCTACATTGAAGCTTAGTGCAACCAAAACTTGTACATCCCCAATAATTTTCCTAGAATTGGTTGCTTTGCAAGTTCAAATAGAAGCGAAAATGAAGGATCTTAGAAATCCTACCATGCAACGGGTAGCATCTTTAATAAAGTTGAAATTTGACAAATATTGGGGGAGCTTTGATGTTATGAATAAGCTTATATTTTTGGGCAATGTGCTAGACCCAAGGATGAAGCTTCAAATGCTCCAAATCAGCTTTGACAATCTCAAGGTAGACGCTAGAAAGCAAGATGAGATTGTGAAGGAGGTTGTAAAGTGTTTGAATGAATTGTATAGTGAGTATAAAGGAGTTGGGAGTGTTGTGAGCCAATTTGATGAGGATGGGATTGATGATAAGGTTGCACAAATTGGTGACGATGTTGATGTCACATTTCAACTAATGCAACAACTTGTGCAAAAGAGGAAGGATGAGTAATCCGTTGAGATATCCAATGAAGTGGATAAGTACTTGATGGATCCTTTTGAGAGCCTTTTGAGCAAACAATTCAATATCTTGAATTGGTGGAAAGGGAACCAAACAAGATATCCTATTCTTTCACAAGTTGCCAAGGATATCTTTGCAATTTCAAGTTCCACGGTTGCTAGTGAAAATGTTTTTAGCCTAGGCAAGAGGATTGTGGATCGTTTTAGAAGCTCCTTGCATCCTAAAATGGTAGAGACATTAGTGTGTACTAGTGATTGGCTTAGGGCGGATGAATTTTCCTTTTACAAGGAACCAACGGACGATGAGGTTGAATTCTACAAGGAAATGGAACATATGACAACTTGTAAGTAATTATTTTATTTATGCTTCTTTTTATAATAAAATGTACTAAACTTATGTTGTTTTATTTGTAAATAATATTGGTGCTCAAACAACGCAACCAGGTCCTTCAAATCCACTCACCACTGCTTATACTTGAGTTCTCCTTTTGGTTTGTAACTTTAATTAACTTTGAATTGGATTTTTCCTTTGGATTGTAACTTTAATTCATTTTGAATTGCATTTTCCTTTTGGTTTGTAACTTTAATTAACTTTTAATTGGATTTTCCCTTTAGGTTGTAACTTTAATTCATTTTGCATTGCATTTTCCTTTTGGTTTGTAACTTTAATTAACTTGTAATTGGATTTTTCTTTAGGTTGTGAATACTTGAGAAGTTGAGGTTGAGGTTGTGAATTTATATATGCTTGAGAAGTTGAGCTTGTGAATTTATTTCCTTAGGTTGTGAATTTATATTTTTGGGTTAAAGTATGCTTGAACTCAAAAGGCTTCAAAAGAAGCATCAAAACTAGGCTTAAAAGTGTGGAAGATTGGATTTTTATGACATAAAAAGACCACACTTGAAAGACCTAAAACTTTAACTTAGGCCGAAAATATCCGAATCGGTTTAATCCGATAATTCACAGTAACCAACTGATATTGTGGTTTTACTGCAATACGGTTTACCTCAAAACGCGGTCGGTTTGTGGTTTCAAAAAATGTCAAACCGCAAATAGTCGGTCGGTTTGTGGTTTGGCCAAAAAATCGCGATAACTGAACTGGAACCACCCCTACTCAAAATTCAAATAGTACTTGATAGCTAGTCAATAACTCCTCTAATCCACATCAAGAGTATGAAGTCAATAACTTCAATCGTTCTGGAATCTTTCCCAATTCCAATCGAGGGCAACGGCTTATGTCTAGATTATTGAGCTTCATCATTGCCCCTTCTTCCACTATCAACTCTTCCAAATCATCTAATAATTGTAGACATAGAATGTGCAACTGAGGAAACCCTACTTTTGAGGAGTAAACCAGTTTTCTTCTATTGTATGACCCCTCTCCCAAGAAAAGAAACTTCAGGTTTGGCTACCTCTCAAGTTTACCTATTGAATCTTCCTCAAGATCGGAATACAACAGACTTAGCTTGACAAGATTCTGTGGGAGTTCAGGTAGCTTGTTTATTCTCCTAGCCAAATGGAGCTTGTGAAGATGCTCAAAATGAGAAAGTCTTATGGTTGTTGGTTGGCCACCCTTAAATTCCAGAGACAAGGATTGAAGGCAGTGGAATCTCTCTATGTTGGAAACCACTAAGTCTAAGTTTGCTTTTGTTAATTCTACTATCTTCAGTTGTTGCAAATTAGTCATGCATGCTAAACCACCTTCTTCCATCCAACTTCCATCCGAACATTTTAGGGTCCGTAAATTGCTCAAGGTATCCAATCTAAGATTCATTGGGTTGGTTCCATGGAGGAGCAAATGTCTCAAATTCTTCAACTTCTAAATAACATCGGGGAAACATACGAATATGTGTAAATTTGAAAATTCTCATAGTTATATTCTACTTTAAGTGTCTGTAGATTCTTTAGTTTTCCAATCGATCGTGGAAGCTGGAATCCGAAAGGGACCTGTATCAAGGATAATCTTAGATAGCTTAGTTGAATTAGGTTTCCCACTGTACTTAGTGCCTGAGATGGAAAGGGAACACCATCTAGGACCCTGAGCAACTTGAGATCCTTGTAAATAAAGCCGTTTTTCAAATACCCTATGTTGAAATATTGAAGGGAGCGTATGTAAGAGGCATACGGCTTTAGAAAAACAAACAAATCATGTTCACCATGGATTGCAAGCCTCCGAGATTTGTTGCGTTGTGATGCTGGCGATGCAACTTGCTGCCCACTATAAATTTCAAGAAAACTTTCCTCATTCTCCTTTGAGATAGAGAAGTCTCAGAGAAGATCATGCATGCGAATGGTTTTAACCTTTCCAAGTGAGGTTAGTGATGCCACCTGGATCATGCACCTATCAACCAATTCGTTTAAGCAATTGTCAGCAACACCTTCTGCGGGTTCTTCTCCTTGTTGTGGTAAGAATTTTTCTGCAACCCACAAGTGTATCAACTTTATTTTCGATATAGAGGAATCCTCGGGGAAAAGACCCAAATGGAGAAAACATGATTCTAAGTGGAAAGGCAAATCATTATAGCTTAGGGCTAAAATTGCAGAAACGCGATCTTGATCAATGAGATGCCAGGTGATGTTTTGAAGCACGTGTCTCCATTCCTCCGCTGTCTTCCTTTTTGTGGACAATAATCCTCCAAGCACCACCACTGCTAGTGGCAGACCATCGCATTTTTCCATTATCTCTCTTCCCACCTTCTACAAATCACAAGGCATATGGTCCATTCCTGGGAGTGCTTTCTTGCAAAACAATTCCAAGCTTTCATCTTGTGTTAAAAAATCACAGTTCAAGTGCTTCGCTTATTGGATCTGCATATAAAGCAACGTCCTTATTTCGGGTGGTGAGCATCACCTTACTTCCCGTCCGTCCACTTGAAAATGCAGATTGGAAGCTATCCCAGACCTCCGTTTCCCAGATATCATCAAGAACAACTAGATACCTCATCTCTTTCAACAATTGATGCAACTTCAATACCAACACCTCATCTTCCAATTTCTTCAAATCATCCATATTGCAATCAGGACTTGTAGTTACAATTATCCTTTCTAGAGTTTCTCTACTGTAATCTTTAGACACATAAACAAATGCTTTGCAATCAAATTGGTATTTGATATCACTATGGTTGTACAATTTTTTTGCAAGAGTGGTTTTGCCGAGACATCCCATGCCCACAATAGAAACCACACGGTGACGTGGCTCCATGCGAGATAGTTGTCTTAGCAATGCTTTGGTATCTTCTACAAGATCAACCAAATCATCTTCCTCGATGTTGGGCGATGTTTGTCTCCACCATAACATCCTTTCATTTGCAGAAGCAATCGTCCCTTCACTTCCCTCTCGAATAGTAGTGATCCCAAAATGTTCTTTTTTGCTTGAAATGTTTTGGACCCTATACCAGATTTTTCCAATCTTCTTTTCGACCTCGTAAAGATTGATCAACTTTGCAGGTATGTTCCGTGAACTATGAGATGCTGCTTTGGCGATGTAAGTTTTTATAATATCTTCAGCATATCTAGGGCCACTTCTCTTATTTGAAACACCTAATTGTGAAGTCTTTCATTTTTCTCTTGCTCTGCATCCGCGTCCTTGAGGAAACTTTGCATCCACTGCAATTCGTCTTGCAATTGCTCAACCTTCTCACCCACACCTTCCAAGAGAAGTGCTTATTCAGTGATCCAGTTTATGAGCTTTCCGACGACTGTCGAAACTACAAACTCTGTGATTTTCTCTCTCTAATCTGGCTCTCTCTCTGTATCTTGTTTCCAACATTAATAATGGAGATTCATTGTTCTAATTTTTGATTCCCTTAACATATATAACGTGACAAATGCTTTCGAACAATTGAAGCTTTTTAGTTGTCGTTGTTCAATTGAAGATTCAGAAAAGGCCAAACGGCAAATGCCCAAAGGGGAGCCAAAACCCAAGAAATCAAACAGACATGCCAAAACGTCATCGGAGAAACTAAAAGAGGGATGCTATCCAAAGACATAGACTAGCCAAAAAGAAACACCATAAACCAGATAGGACAATGGAACATGGAACATAATATCATATGGTTTGTGCCTCTTGCTTAAATTGCGTGTATCTCTGGTTTAGAATAATTTCACATGACATGAATATGCAGAACACAAATATGATAAAACACGGTAGATGGGACCATGTCACACTTGCTTGAAAGTGTAGGGGTTGTTATGGATAATTATTGTGGCTTAAATCTTGTCAAGTTACAAGCTATAAATGTGGACAAACATAACCTCACATCGAAATCGTATCACAACAACGTACAATATAAAAATAGGTGATTCACTACTAATAACATTAATACATTTTGAGACAAAACTCCATACCTAAATGAGTTCAATCAACCTGATTTAGTCCATATTTGACCTGATGAGCTGAATCAAATTTAGTAATAGGCTCATAATGATTCGTTGCACAACACCAATGAGGTACTTATCTTATAGTGTTACATCGGTGCTATATTTTCTAATATACGAGCATCTGTGCAAAATTGTAATCATACTAGAAACAACCTAAAAGTTTTTCTTTTATTGAGAAATGTATTTCAATTTTGACAATCTTAGACCAACAATTTTATCTAGAAAGCAATCACGGCATACAAATTTAATATTGTTAAGAAAAAAGAGACTTGTTCCGAAACCATTTCTCAATCTCACTCTCTTTCTCTCTGCATCCATGGATTCATCAGAAACTCCAGTTGTCATGTACTTCTTCCCATTTATAGGAGGAGGCCACCAAATCCCAATGATAGATATAGCAAGAGTCTTCTCCTCCCACGGAGCCAAAGCCACAATCCTAACCACCACACCCGCCAACGCCCTGCGCTTCCGAAGCTCCATCCGCCGAGACCAAAGCCTCAACCTCCCGATCACCATCCGTGTCCTCAACCTCCCAAACGACGCCGTCTCGACCGACTCCTCCATGTCCGCAACCCCCTCCACAGACACCTCCGTCCTCCGAGAACCCCTCAAGCTATTCCTCACCCAAAACCCACCCGACTGCATCGTCATCGACGTCTTCCACCGCTGGGCGGCTGATGTCATCGACAGGCTTAACATCAAACGGGTGGTGTTCAATGGAAACGGATTCTTCTCTCGCTGCGTCAGCGAGTGTATCGGCCGATACGCGCCGCATGAGCAACTGGGTTCTGATTCTGAGCCATTTCTGGTGCCTCAAATTCCTGATAGGATCGAATTGACGCGGTCTCAGCTGCCCCCTTTTGCAAGAAACAAACCAGGGCTTCCTGATAAAGTTGGAAAAGCAGAGGAGAAGGCTTTTGGGGTTGTGGTGAATAGTTTCTATGAATTGGAGCCAAAATATGTGGAGTATTACAAGACTGTGTTGGGGAAAAAGGCATGGCCTGTTGGCCCAGTTTCTCTGTGCAACAGAAACAATGCCGATAAGACTGAGAGAGGCCAAGCAGCCTCAGTTGATGAACAGAGCCTCCGAAATTGTTTGAGCTGGTTGGATTCTAAAGAACCCTACTCGGTCGTTTACATAAGTTTCGGCAGCTTGGCTCGGTTGCCGCCCGCCCAGCTCGTTGAGATCGCTCATGGGCTCGAAGCCTCGACCCACAATTTCATTTGGGTTGTTGGGAAGATTTTCAGATGCGCACAGAACGAAGGTCGTGTTGGGGACGACGAGAATTGGGTTCCCCTGGGATTTGAAGAGAGAATGATGGAGATGAAGAGAGGGATTTTGATAAGGGGATGGGCCCCGCAGATATTGATGCTGGAGCATGGTGCTGTTGGGGGGTTTATGAGTCACTGTGGCTGGAACTCGACATTGGAGAGTGTGACTGCTGGGGTCCCCATGATGACGTGGCCGCTGTCGGCGGAGCAATTCTACAATGAGAAGCTGATAACTGATGTGTTGGGGATTGGAGTCCAGGTTGGGAGCAAGGAGTGGGTGTCGTGGAATGCGGAGAGGGAGGAGTTGGTGGGGAGAGAAAAGGTGGAGGCGGTGGTGAGTAGGGTGATGGGTGGCGGTGAGGAGGCGGAGGAGATGAGGAAGCAAGCGAGAGCACTTGCGGAGAAGGCTAGGAGAGCCGTCGAAGAAGGTGGTTCCTCGTATGAAGGGGTGGATGCTTTGATTTCAGAGCTCAAATCATTGAGAAAGAATTAGTCAGCAAAGTTATTGATTTTCCATAAATGGGGCCAACATGCTGTATAATCACATGTCGCATTTGTAGAAACGTTGTAGCAATAATGCACTTTATATCAGCGGACGGGTGGACTGGCTTGACTTAGGATAGGTAGCCAGAACAGTATGTAAGTGATTTACATCCTCTATATGTAAGTGATTTACATCCTCTAAAACCCTACACTTCTTCATCTTCATTTCTAGTCCCAAGCATGAGTAGTGAAAACCGAGAGTTCCATATATTCTTGTTCCCTTTCATGGCTTATGGGCACATGATACCAGTCTCAGACATGGCAAATCTATTTGCAGCACAAGGAGTGAAGACAACCATAATCACAACCCCTCTCAACGCCCCAACATTCTCTAAAGCCACCCGATCAAGAAAAACCAACTCCGGCCGCATCGAAGTCCAAATCAAAACCATCAAGTTCCCTTCTCAAGAGGCTGGGCTGCCAGAAGGGTGTGAGAATCTGGAATCACTCCCCACACCAGAATTCGCCAATAATTTCTCTAAAGCATTGGGCTTGCTCCAAGAACCGCTCGAACGGCTGCTACTTGAAGACCAACCGTCTTGCCTTGTAGCTGACATGTTTTTTCCTTGGGCAACTGATGCTGCTGCAAAATTTGGCATTCCAAGGCTCGTTTTTCATGGGACTAGTTTCTTCACTTTGGCTGCATCAGATTGTGTGAGGCGATATCAGCCTTTCAAGAACATGTCATCTGATTCAGAACCCTTTGTGATTCCCAATCTTCCAGGGGAGATCAAGATGACAAGAGCCCAAGTGCCTTATTTTCTGAAGGAGAATATTGAAAATGACTTTACCCAGTTAATGAAACAAGCTCATGACTCTGAGGTGGGGAGCTATGGTATTGTTGTCAATAGTTTCTATGAACTTGAACCCGTTTATGCAGATTATTACAGAAAGATCTTGGGGAGGAAGGCATGGCATATTGGTCCTCTTTCTCTGTGCAACAGGGACAATGAGGAAAAATCATATAGAGGAAAGGAAGTCTCTATTGATGAGCATGAATGTTTGAAGTGGCTTAATTCAAAGAAACCCAATTCAGTGGTTTATGTGTGCTTTGGGAGTATGGCTAGATTCAGTAATTCTCAGCTGAAGGAGATTGCAGCAGGGCTTGAGGCTACTAGGCTGGAGTTCATTTGGGTTGTGAGGAGAGGCAAAAATGATGATGATGTGGGCAAAGAGGATTGGTTGCCTGAAGGGTTTGAAGAGAGGATGGAAGGAAAAGGGCTAATCATAAGAGGGTGGGCTCCACAAGTCCTGATTCTTGATCATGGGGCTGTTGGGGGATTTGTGACTCACTGTGGGTGGAATTCCACATTGGAAGGAATTGCTGCTGGGTTACCTATGGTGACATGGCCAGTGTCTGCAGAGCAATTTTACAATGACAAGTTAGTGACCCAAGTGTTGAAAATTGGGGTTGGTGTTGGTGATCAGAAGTGGGTAAGAGTTGAGGGTGATAGCGTCAAGAGGGAAGCTATTGAGAAAGCTGTGACTCAGATTATGGTGGGTGAGGAAGCAGAGGAAATGAGAAGCAGATCCAAGGGACTAGCAGAGCAGGCAAGAGGGGTTATTGAGAAAGGAGGATCATCCCATTTTGATTTGAATGCTTTAATTGAAGAGTTGAGTTCCCATAGGTAAAGTTGGACCTCACATACAAAATGAGATTTCACTTGATGGGGAGGGGTTGCAGGAAGATGGGGTGTTGGGTTATTTATCTTATTTTATTTTATATTTTTGTTGTAAACTCAAAAAGGTTATGGATGTCCACCATAAGTACATTGTAATTCCTATCATTATACCTATCATCAAAGATGTGATGAGTCAGTGTTGCTGGTTGAAGCAACTAGCCAACCAAGTGCGCTCGAGAGTATCTCTTGCTCTGATATCACCACCATCGTTGCAAGGGATAAACCCTCTGCCTTTCTTTTATCTTTTTCATTTATCATATTATTATTATTCTAATATATATACTATTCATCATGCTAATCAATTACAGTACGTATAGGGGCATCGTGATATCCTTCCGAAGGACTTTTATCTACTTTTCTGATACATATATATTAGTCTAATAATATATTGGTATATTGATATATAATATTTTAATATGATCAGAGGCTTTCAATTTTGTATAGTATGATATATAAATATATATATATTGTATGAGACAACATTATGATCAGCCATAGAATCAAAAACTCTTCTTGCATTAGTAAGGGAATCACATTTTGCATACATATCAATCAAACTATTCTTCACATAATCTTCATAAACAAGATTAACTCTGATAGCATAAGCATGCACTTCTCTCCCATGATTAAGGGCCTCAAGTGAAGCACACGAAGTAAGAATACTACTGCACCCAAATCCATCTAGCTTCCAACCCAATCTGGCCATTTCAGAAAATCGCTTAACGGCCTCCCTGTTAAATGAGTTTTGCATATACCCAGCTGTCATTGTGGTCCATGAAATGAGGTCCTTGACTACTATTGTATTGAATAGCTTCCGTCCTGCCTGCACTTCACCGCACTTTGTGTAGAAATCTACGAGTACATGAACAACTGAAACATCCATTACTGTTCCCCTTCTAAGCACATAAGCATGGATTTGCTTGCCACCTCCAATGAACTTGAGGGCAAAACATGCAATCAGAAGACTAGAAAGCACATATTTATTAGGAAGAACGTCAGTGTCTCTCATTTGGTTGAACAGTTTCAAAGACACTTCACTTCTTCCACATTTTGCATACCCTGATGTCATGATAGTCCAAGTAACTGCACTTTTTACTCTTAAACCATCAAAAATTAGTTTTGCTTCTTCTATAGAGTAAAAATCGACTAAAGAAGTACCCACATAAACTTCCTGATCAAAACCAGTCTTGACAACAAAACTATGCACTTGAGCACCTTGATCAACCCCTCCCAATCGCGTACAAGCCCGAACAACACTAGCTAAAGTATACTCATTCGGCTTCCCATCGGAATTCCAGCAGAACTCTGAAAACATCACCAATGCTTCTTCGTCATTACCATGCTTGGTATACCTAGAAACCATAGAGGACCAAGTAACTGAGTTTTTTTCAGGCATTTTATCAAACAGTTTCCGCGCGTAAACAATAGAGTCAGATTTTGTGTAAGAGGGCAATAGAAGATTAGCAAGAAAAACATCATCTTGAAAGCCCGATACGACAACTTGGGCATGCATTCTCTTGTCGTACCAAATGGGTTGGTCTGAAACGCGTAGTTGTAAGAGGTTGACCAATGCCCGCCTTCTGCTTTGGAGGTTTTGGATTGGAAGGCATGGGTCCTGTGACTGAAGAACAGGGCACGCAAAGGTGGAGAAGTTGAGGGCTTGTGTCCTGGTAATCTTCTTCTGACAATGTCTTAGGTGCAGTGCAAAGTTTCTCATACCAAAGGAGAAGAAGTTCTATTCAAATTGTGTGTTTCCTTTCTTTTATAATACTGGTACATGACAGAGCCTGAGTTTGCACCCAAGTTATACTTTGATCTGTATTATTGGCTGGCTGACAACATTGTGATTACTGGTAAACATGGTTTTGAACTCAACAATTACTGTCTAATTTTTTTGCTTTTTGTCTTTTTTTATTTTTTTTATTTTGAATATATACATTTTTTAAAACAAGCGATATTGAGAATGGGGAGATTCAAATATAAAACCTTCAGTGAAGGGATAAGGCCATCTCTAAAAGTGCATGGCTAAATATAGCCCACCATTTATAGTTTTGTAAGGAATAGTGATGGGCTATATTTTTTACCGTCCAGTAGTGAATGCTAAATCATATCTTCTTCTTTGGATAATTTAATTAAAGTACTATTTTGTACCCTATTTAAAATTTATTTTAGAAGGGAAAAATATTTTTGTATAGGACTTTTGACATCCATGGATAGGATTTTAGAAAAGAAAATATTTTCTAATAGGATAAGATTAATTTAAAAACAACAACAGCCCACTCAAGAAACTAAAACATTAATTTAAAAACAACAACTGGTCCACCCAAGAAATAATATAATAAGATATAGCTCACCCAAGAAGTATGCCACATTTGGCTCTTTTGGCCCACTGACTAGGTTTGGTCTGGAGATGGGTTTTGGGTGTGAAAGGGCTAAATTTGAGAATTTACCCCATTATTGGAGTTGGCCTAACTGCTTTTAACCACTTGAACAAGCTAACAAGCCCATGCTTAAGTATAGTTTGTTAGTTTTGAACCAGTGGTGGATCCAAAATTCAAAATTCGACTCGATGAAACTTACGTTAGAAACCCAACAAAAACTCAAATAAACTCTAATAATAACATCAATGCCTTTAATCAAACATTAATATACAACAACAAATCAACCATCTCAATAATACCAATATAAAATCAAACATCTCAAGAAAATTCCTAAAATAAAAAACCTAATTAATTTCAACAAAATCCCAAATTGTAATTCATTCTTAATCAAACCCTAGAGTATATTAGAACGCATCAATGCCCCAGTCGTAGAACCGCCCCTATTTTGAATTCATTGCAAGTTTACTTTGAACGGGTGAAGTTGGGAATAAGGGAAAGAAATATTGGATATGAGATAAACCACCCTCCCTATTCAATTTGATTATTGGGTTTTCATGTATAGATTATGAATTGTAATGTAAAATTCGCCTACTTTTTTTATTTTATTTCGTTTGATAAGTTAGGAATCAAAATAATTCCAATATTAATTCTAGATAAGTAAACATTATCTTTTGGTAGTTTTCTAATTATCAAGGGTGACCAAAATTATAGACTTATAAAAACAAAAGTACGCTAATTACAGTTTCAAATTTACATTTTTATTTCCACTATTTTTCAACATATCATCTTCAACAACCAAAGGCGGAACTAAGGGTGGCTGAGGTATGCTCCAGCACAGTGCTGACTTTGAGATTAGGCTTAGTGTATAGGCTAAATCCAGATCAATC